CAGCTGCGCATCAGGGCTCATAAAACGTTCGCGCTTCATTTCAGAACAAGTCGGCGGCTCAGCGGTAGTCAACTACCTATTAATATCTTGCTTCGCAAACAAGCGCGTAAGCCCCGATCTCGTCAATGCCGGGGACGGGCCCGGCTTTATCCGACGGGTACGTGACTTAATATCCATTGTGGCGGCCCGTCCAGTGCGGCAAGGGGTGGAGCGTCGATTTTATTAAACCGTATAATAGACGCATCCCTTGTTGGGGTTTGGGGTTTGCGTTACTTTCCGCATCACGTTCATGTCTCAGTTCAATCCGCCCCTCTTAATCTTCTTTTTTCTTCTTTCTTCTTCTTCTTCTTCTTCTTCTTCTTCTTCTTCTCCCTTTCTTCTTCGTCTACAACTACTTCTCCTCCCATTCTTTTTCTTCATCATCTTCTTCTTCTCCTTCTTCACCATTTTCTACTTCTCTTATTTTCCCATTTCTTATTTCCTTGATTTCAGAACAAGTCGGCGGCTCACCAGTAGTCAACTACCTATTAATATCTTGCTTCGCAAACAAGCGCGTAAGCCCCGATCTTGTCAATCTTCTTTCCCTTCTCTTCTTTCTTTTCTCTTTCTACTCTTCCTCTTTTTCTTTGATTCTGCTTCTTCCCTATCTTCCACTTCACACTGGTGCATTTTTTAATTCATGAATTGACTTACTCTTTATATCGAGAACTACAGAATATATCTGCTATTAGTAAAGGTAGGCATGTGACAAATAGTAATAAGCGTTAATATTTGTGTCCACTATACCGGGGTTCCACAAAGCACCTGAGTTTATGGTTTACATCGAAGGAAACGTGATCTAATGCTTTAGATTTTGTAATGTTTTAGATTTTACTATTGTTTTGTGATTACTACGTCTTTATGATTTTCCACTTCAGTTGGAATTCTATATACTCCAGTCTCCGAAATCCCTAATCCTTGAGAACTTTATCATTTAAGGCACTGAAAGGCAAATGACTACTGAGTGTGATCGTATATACGAGTACAAAATTTCGATATCATTGATTGATTAGTGACTCAGGGCGCGGCAACTGCCAAGTCATTAGTCCCGCAAGTGTAGAGTATATATTTCCTCGGGAGAAGTGGGGGTGGTCTTCTCCGCTTGATGGCGAGAATCAGCGCCGGCCTACCGTCGGCTAGCAGGGTTTTGCTCATCCAGGTATCTCCGGTAACAGGGGAGCCCCGCCCCAGCCCAGACCAGCTCTAAGCTCACGATCGGTCTCCCGGCGTGTGTCATTGTGTAGTGCATGTTAGTGTAAATGTGTGCAAGTAAGGGGTGAGGATAGATCGTGAAAGAGGAAGACAAAATTGTGCTCAGTGGCCCGTTAGGAAGCTGCTCCGGTATTCGCTTCGTATTGATAGAGGAAACCATGGAAAACTAGCGATCAGAGCAACCGCACGCTAGACTTCTCCTTCAGACAGCGACTGAATTCGACCTAGCTGACAAGCTAGAGTGGAAAATCCTACCCACATCGGGACTCGAGAGACCTCTCGGCAAATTCAACACAAGATCATTTATATCCACTTCCAGTCTCCGCGTTTAACGGTATTAAATTTAATTTTTTACTCTACCGAAGTGACGAATAGGAAACATACAACACTGTTCGGGAGGTTGCTTGGGAGAGGGGTGAATAGATACGATGCGAATATTATCGGCGTTCAGGAAATTTTATTTTACTGTACACGATTCTCAGAGAATTTGCAATGCACGTACTGCCTAGATCCAGACATTGCTGAAGGAGTGGGTAGTTACCCTTCATCTCATCTCTCTAAAAAATTGGGGATGTATCATGCTATCTAAGACAATGACCTGAAATATCTCAATCCCAGACGCCAAGTCGATAAGATTTCGAGGCTACATTTGCTATTTGTTTCGAGGGCGGAAGGGGCTGGGCAAGGCACAGACAACCTCAAACGTAGAGATACAGCTGCAGTTTGCACCAAACGAATGAAAGAATAAAGGGAGTTGTCTTATCATCAGTTACCTCGTACAAAATTCATAAAATATTTTCTAGAAATATAATTTTAATCCATAAAAATAAAAACGTGAATCGCAAGGGTTACACATCAATAGGTTTTCAGGCAATATGTGATTGTAAAGAATATTTCACAATGTTGATATTGATTGGTCGGACTCGATTCACGATTCACGCGTATGGAGAAACAGTGTTGTGAACGCAGTGCTGGGCAAAAATATAAACGTGTTAATTGCTGATGAATGTAACGGAAATTCGCTGTGGCTAATAATGGCCTTTACAATTCCTAATAATTCTCAGTAATTATACTATAATAGACTATTGTCAGCAGTTATTTCAACCCTATTTGACCAGTTGAAAGAATTCCAAGTCTTCACTACACCCTAAGTGTGGGCCTACCTCGTATCCCTTTATTCAATCTTACCTGTTATTTTTTACACAATTCCAATGATTTTGAAGATGCCTGACGTCAATGACTTGAGTGCTAAAAGTATTTCTGATTTTGACACAGATAATTCTGATGATTCATCCTAATCTATTTGTTTACACATTTCCAAATGTCTTGAAGATGACTGACGTCGACGACTTAAGTGATGATAATATTTCTGGTATTGATATAGATGACGATATTGGAGTTATTAATGAAACAGAAACAGGCGACGTCTGTTGAAGTTTGTACAATACACCAACAAATTCAAACTGATCGCACAATAGCGGCAAACACCAGATTTTGTTTTCCGGATTTCGAGCAAAAACGTGTCTACTTTCATCTGAGCACCATGCGATCAAAATGTAACCAAGGAGTCAGAGAAACGTCTTAAATACAAAAGTTTGTGAAAGAGATCAACATAATGTGGGGAGTATAAGCACAGGTCGTCCCGATACTTAGGGGAGCTTGGGATTTGTTCAGCAAAATTTGTATAACAACTTGGCAAATATCCCAGGTCATTAAAAAGAACGGGAAGTGCAAGACACAGCCCACATTTTGGGCAAAATATTGTACAAGCAGCGACAGTCCTTAGATCATCTCCTTAGGAAGCCAGTTGGAATACACAAAAGAGTTTATAAACAACTGACTCATAACATCTTGTCGTGAATAAGATGAATAATAACAATAATAAAAGCATCAAATAATGATGATGGTGATAATAATAATAATAATAATAATAATAATAATAATAATAATAATAATAATAATAATAATGACGGTGTTATTTAAAGGATTTTTGACCTTGTAAATTATATTAAATGATGATAATGTAAATTATATTAAATGATTAAACAACGATTTTTGTTCCGTTTTTTAATATCAATTTTCATATTGTTAATATTTCTTAATTGACTGCTTTTCATTCACTATTTGTCGCGAAGCTTTTTCAATTCCACGGTGTTTGTTATTCACTTGCTACAACGAAATTTTTAAGTTTCACAAAGATTACCTTTTTTCTGATTTCCCCATGTAGAAATTCCTATTTTCTGACATTTTAAACACAATATGTTGATAATATTTGAAACTATTCTATTAAAATAACGCACGAAGCACCTTGTATATGAAGAATGCAATTATCAATATTTTGGCCTGGGTTGCGATTACCTACGAACGTTAGCAAACATACTCAAGTAACTAATCGATTGTAGTAAAGTAAAACCTCAAAATACGTAGTATTTTCTGCATTGCAAAACAACTTAGTTTATTCGTTCGTAGTATTCAACTTAGTTTATTCATAAGTAGCAAGTATTTTTACGTTCACTTTCTCCAAAAAGCAAAGCAAATGGTAATGCCAAATTTCATACGTTTGACCCAGTGTTACATATACTATTTTGTTTGGAGAATGTGTAAATTTGGAAGTAGACTGAAAAATATACCATCGGTGAAATGCGGAGATGTGAGCAGATATTCAGGCAGAGCCGATAACCATTAAGTGTGCGGACCCAGCTTAGAGACGGGAAATTTTGAACAGGGTTGGTTGGCATGGGGCAGTTACTTTGGCAGGCGACACAAATTTCCCCCAACTTTGTTCCAAGGAGATGTAGATATCTGTATCTCGGAATTTACAATGAAACTGAATAATGCTCTAAGCAACATACTGGATTTAGCAAGTTACTTTAAATTCACATTTATATAGTAATAATTTTACAATTTTATGTTAATTCCTTAGACAATTCCATTTCAATAATGTGAGTTAACAGAATGCTATTGTCTTTTATAATTACAACGAAACAGATTTTACTCCTAAATTAGAAGGGTGATCAGAAACACTGTTCCACGCATCGCGCCATAATTGATATTGTTCCATCTAGCTTGTTTGCGTTACACGTTGATGCAAATCAATATCAATTAACCGATAATTATAATTCTGCTATAATTATGAATTTATTCACTAGAATATTGTACGTCCATGTCAGACCACGATCAATTCAGCACGTTTTATCATTACTCGTCGCTCGTATGTTTGTATTGTTAATGAAATGATTTCTCGTAAATTATTTCCACAGCCTTCGAAATCTTCGTTGATCTCTTATTTAGAAACAAATTCAAAAAACATTTTTATTCCCTATATTTAAAGCTTAATGAATCTCAGAATATGTCTGGTATTTTATTTCCTCATATACTTACTTTGATGTTTTTTGTAATGACTCAAAAAAATATCAACATTTTGACGAAAAAAGAAGTTTTAAGGACCCTGGAATTGGTAAAGTGTTTTTTTTTAGTCAAAACGTCCGTGTAGCTGCCAGTCCGCCCGCCTGCCTTCCTATGAACATCTTATGCCTCAACATTTCGCAGGATTTTCACCAAAATTGACTGAATTTGTCACGGATATTCTATTTTTGAGGAATGGCATACATGAAACTCCAAAAACATTTTAAAACTTTTCTCAAAAGCGACTTCATATATTTCTTCAATTTTTTTTCACGAATTCAGGAACATTTTTCGAATTTTTTCGACAGCTTTCGAATTCCGTGAATTATCGGATATTACAAAAGTTAACGATTTCTGGGATTACTTCCAACAAAAATATTATTTATAGTATAAATTTGTTTGTAAATATAATATATGTACTTCAAAAAATGGGATCTTTAACTAGTGCCATGTACATTGTTTCAAAATAGCAAACGATTTACGTAATTTTGAGTTACACGTCTTGCATATACGAGTCAGAGCTGAAGTGTCAGTAGAAGAAAAGGTGCAGAATAACAATATTATGTAACTCTTACAGGAAAGTGTGTGCTGTTGTAGCATCATCAGTTTCATGTTAAACAATTTCATTTATGACACTGATTGATTTATTCACTGCTATGATTTCCCTAGGCACATATAATGAATAAAAATTACATTCTCTCATTCAGGCAAGTCAACGTTAATAGTTACAAATAGAAGTATTAATTTTTATCCGCTCTGAAAACCTTTTCGAGAGGTAAAGCAAAATAAAAGCTTAAATTTATAAGTGAGAGAATTAGTATAGATTCAGGGAGCGTCAACCAATGAGATCATTCGTTATATAAAAGAAATTATAATTATAGTTATGTTTGTTTTGTCTTAAATACAATAAATAATAATTATTATAATTATTTTTGTTTTCTCGTAAATAAAATAAATCTTTATTATAATTTAATAACAATGCCACTGGTCAAATTAAATTCTCCGACTCGCAAACACCAATGATAGAGGTTACCCACAGAAAACTGTCAATTTAAAAAAACATTGATGATTTTTAACACATATATTATTTATAGCGATGTTTTAATTTTAGACATCGATGTTTTGTTGGTCGATGTCGCTTTCGTGAAGGAAAGCCGTCAGGGTCATTGCATAGGCCCATGAGCGAATCTGCCCGCCACGAGCGGGACGCACGAGTATTTGGTGCTGGAGCATATGCGACCGGCGCTGGTGGCTTAGAGCATCAACTGATGTACTGCAGCGCCTCTGGGCGAGAGGTCCTAGCATCGAGTCCCGACGGTGGGAGGATTTTCGCCACTGACTAGTCAGCTAGGTCAAATTAAGTCTCTGATCGAGAATTGTAGCAGCCGAGTGCTCTCGTCGGTTGCTTTCCCTGGTGTCTCCGGACAACACAAATGGCAGGCAAATATGCTGGATCAGAGTCCAAATAAACCAGCCACGAACGGCTGGTGAACTTTACTTTCTCTTCCTTGTCCTGCCGTCACCCCTTCCCTACACACACACTTACATGCACGACATTACCACACATTTCGGAATACCAATCATGAGCTTAGAGCTTGTTCCGGCATGGGTGGTGTCCGGTTAGTGGGAGATACCGGATAGTGGGAGATTGGGGAAAATCCCGTTAGCCGACATGTACGTCGGCGCCGGATCGCGCCATCCAGAAAGGTATGAACACCGCCACATCCCGCGATAAAACTAGCATTACGTTTACGGGACATGTTAGAAGTTGACACCGGAAACGTCTATCAATCAATCAAGGCTAACATTCTTGTTCGCGTACGAGCGAGTAATTTTCACGCCCTCTCTAGAACGAATATTATATTTGTCTTATTAACTCTATGACAGGAAAATTCCCCACTTCATTCGGGTAGCTTTCATTTACATAGGAAGCTGAGTAGAGAATGGTGGTTTTGACAGTGTTGGTTATTCCGATAGCGTCAAAACACATCGAAAGAGCGAGAGGTCGACCGAACTCCCTGGTGTGTGAAGAGCGACTGACAATGCGGCCCAGTCAATATAGAGGCAATGACGGGAATAAAGCCGAGGTGGACGATGGGACTTGTGATAGCGGCATCGGCAGCATCCATGGTTCGCTGCAACTCCCGCAAAGCCGTTCTTTCCAGAGGGTGTTAATGGCGCACACACACGCAGCAACGATCGTTCGATGAGGTCAGAGGCTAAAACAGGGCAGCGACCGCCCGGCAGCTGAGCGCGAGGAGCCTGGGGGGGGGGAGCGCTGGCCGTGCGCAGGGCCGTGGAGGCCATGCCTGGAAATCCCCGAGGCCAGTCCGGTGTGCGGGTGGTCGGGTGCGAGGCGGCGGCGCGTTGCGATAGGCCGGGGCGGCAGCGGCGCTTTGCAGGACGTGGAGGGGGTAGAAGGCGCGGGAGATTTAGCAACTATGAAAGGCGGGAGCAGGGAGAGGAGGAGGGAATAGTGGAGAAGGAGGAGGCGGAGGGATGCGAAGCGTAGGAAAGTAATAGAATGGAAGGTTGGAGGGTCGCCGGAAGGGGTAATGATCTGGTAGGGTGAAGCCGGGAGATGAAGGAGGGGAAACGGAGGCGAAAACTGAAGACGAAAACGAAAGGAGAGAGGCCGTTGGAATATATTGCCTATTACATGGCGTTATCAAGGGATAGAGATACAGTAGTTACAGGAGTAAGGTAGGTGGATGTGCGGGGGACGTCATAGAAAAAGTTCGCAGAGTTTGGTGCGCGAGTCAGAGAGTATATGTGTCAAATACGTGCGGCAGTGCGGCGGCGGTTGGCGAGGTGAGGGCGGCGATGAACGAGACAATGGAAGGGGTGGAGGCGGAGGGGAGGGGCTCCAGCACGTGTGCACGGGCAGGCAGAAAACCTCGGGGCAACGCGGAGCACCAAAGGCGGGAGCGCGGAAAATAGCCAGGGTTGGTGGCTGAGATTTCGTTGAGATAGAATGGACTGAACACGTGGCGAGAGGATTAAACAGGGGGAGTGTGGAAACATTGTTAAAGAGTGAGATTTTTGCAAGATAAATCAACATTAATGATGGTAGTGATGATGTGATTTCGTATGGGAAATGAGAATATAAGATGAGAGAAAAAGTTGTTTTGTCGACCTACTATTTCAACAGATTCCATTAAATGATGAATTACATTACTAACAAAATATTACGTGTAAAGAGCTGATATTCGATAGCCGAAATTATTATTTACATAGTTAGTACAGAAAATGGCTCTCGAATCAGCGGACTAACGGACGGGAACACTAACGAACAGGAAGACTAGCGAACAGGCAGCTAACGAAAAGACAGACTAAGGAACAGGCAGACTGCCGAATCGCGTGGCGGCCAGACGAACTGACAGCCTGGCGAATCAGCAGCCTGATGAACCGCTGGACTGACCTACCGGCGTAATGACAAAGCGATGGGCTCTCAGGCGAGCAACTCATGGACTGACGTTCTTTCGGGATGACGCACTGACAACAAAATCGACTAACATACACATAGGCTCGAAATCTATGTGAGGTGCGAACGTATGTATGATAGAGGAGATTGGTGAGCAGGGACGATGAGTTCATGGAAATGCAGGCGAAACGGCAACACGGTTGCAGTGATAGCAGAGCGAGGAGTCAATAACGACAGGCGAGGGGAAATTCCAGAACATAAGGGCGAGCGACAGCGCGGCAGGGCGCCACAACGACTTCGCCGGGAGGGGTATGTGGCGGGTGCAAGCCAGGACTACGGGAGGCCTACAGCAGGCTCACGGCGAGGAAACTCTTGGCGAGGAATGGGGTGTGCGACGAAACTATGTGATCAAAAACGTTGAGGGAAACAGTCAATTCAGTCGAATTAACACCCCATTTGGGAATGAATTATGATACTCGGAAATCATTCTCTCGTTTCATGTATTCGAATCTATGGTTTGGAGAAATATTTAAAATTATGAGTGTGTTTCGTCGAACCGAAAAGATGAAAGATTACTCCTTTTCCTTGCATAAGAAAACCAGTGAAATAAGTTAAATAGAATATACTGAATCTGTTTCAAATATTAAAATTGGCTGATATTTGATTTAAGTTAAAAAACAGTATTTGCTCATTGCTCTTTGAGGATCATGCTTGAATTTATTTCGAAAGAGAACACTGTTCATTACTACTATATCAAGGTTATGCTGTGTTTATTGCGTGGCTTCAGAGATTAATGTAAGGGTCTCTCAACCCACAGAGCGCGCATTCGATCCCAATTGTGGTGCGAGGATTTTTGAGGGCGGAAAATCCTGTGACCGGGTACTTGAGGCATCTAAAAGAAGAAACGCTAAATGGCCGGGACCTATTATTCATACATTATTCCGACAGTCCCCATCCTAATCAGAATCCACATTCGCATATGTGCGAAGGTCTCACGTAATCGGTGAAGATTTCTAAGCCAGTTGTTGCATTTCCTGCCTATAAATAGGGGAGTTAAAATATACAGGTATTAAAATCAATTGTGTTTCAGTATGTTACAAGTCTCTAGAGCATGTACATGGGCTGAATATGATCAGTTCTGTCCGTGAACATGTAGTGGAAAATTTATTAACGTGGAGTTATTCATGTGACGCTTTCCTCTGTTTTATATTTCACAGATGCTCGCAAGGTGACGTTCGGCCTCTGCCAAGGGCATTCATGTAGCTGCCGAACATATGTGCGTACAGGGTTGACTAACAATCAGTGGCAAAAGTCACTTTTAGCATGCACATAACTTCGTTATATACAATATCTCACTGGATATCCATAGGTGAAAAGCGATCAATTGCCACCCCTCTACAACCTCTAGAAATTTATAACATTTATTCAGAAACACATGTGTATATGAGTCCAAGTAGAATTATTGAAGCAATTTCAACTCATGTTGTAGGGAGCCAACGGATACATTTCAAGTACCCGGACATTACAAACACAGAAGCAAACAAACAAACAAAACATTCCAAGTAGGCGACATTTCCCCCACAACGTATACCGCAGTATGCCATGGCCACGCGGAGGCGGCTTCAACGAAATCATCTCGATGTTGGGGAAGGGGTGGGCAGGGGAGGGGAGCTGGAGCTGCCGCGCCGCCGAAGGCCAGACGGCGAAGACAGAAGAGGCGGCGGAGGGGGGGGGCGCCGGAGAGGAGACGGGGCGCTGCCGGTGGCGTCGGTTCGCCGCAGTATGAATACGTGCCTCCCCCTCGCGCACCTGTTGCATAATTCAAGCGCCCGCCACGAGCGCGCGCCCGTGCGCTCCCCGCCCCACACTCCGCCGCCTCCGCCCACGCTCACGCCCACCGCCCACGCCCACGCCCGCACGGGCCAGCGGACGCGCCTCCAGGCATCGACGCCGGCCGCGCTCCACGGGCTCCTTGCATCTCCTGCAGTTTTGGCTGAGGTTTCAAGGTTGATAGATTGATGTTTCCCTCACGTTATCTACTACAGTCACCAGTCCCGTTAGTATAGTCTATGTACGGTGCGGCGCTTTTGAAATTGGCGCGGCGGGGTGGCGCGCGTGTCATGGCTCGCCGCTTCGAGAAATGCAACCTCCGGAGCTCCGGATGCGCGGGGCGAGTCTTCCCTTTCCACAAAAGGCTGCGGCAAGGCTGACAGGCAGACCACACCGGACAGCGAGTCGGCCAGTCAGGCGGTCTGCGTGAGCCAGGAGATAGTCGTGTGGTCGCCCGCAGCGCCATCACTGGAGTCGACTACCCGGCCTTCGCGAGGGTCAGCCACACGGGATGCAGGTCATGCCAGAGAGCGCTCGGGAGCCGCCGCCATAGACGAGTCCGTGGATGTGAGCGAGCAGATCGCTCGCTCTACAGGGGACCCAACCGTGGAGGCCGCGGTCCGTGCAGGTGCAGCACATGGATAGAGCATCCCTGCAAGCTCTGCAAGCTCTCTCCACAGTGCAATTTGGACGTTGTTCACTCAAGAATTTATAATTGTAAAGATATATAACTTGATGAATAAAGACTGATAAAGTTGACGTAACGATTTTTTGCACGGAATACATCATAGTCAATGTTTTATTTAGAGATGTGGTGGTGTTATTTCCGAAAAGACCGACAGAGCCAACTAACACATCGGTTAGCTGGAAAATTCCTCCTCTAGGTATCTCCCCATGCGGAGCATGCCCCCCCCCCGCAGTCACTGATGCCCCACATCAATGTCCCGTTTGGTTTTCCACATGTGATAGTGTAGTATATATAAGCGTGAGTATGTGTGTGTGTTTAAGTGTAAAGGGTCAGGTCAGGACCAGAACGACGAACAAAAGTAGTCCATGTGATAGGGTACTGCTCCTGCATTGGCCTGGTATTCGTCGAAGAAACGAAAGAAACCTACACGTCAGAGCAACTGCCCGCTAGAATTCTTCACACATATGAATTCGAACCTACGTAATGTTGCTAGTATGGAAACTCCACTATCTTCTGGTCTCGATGCGATTTCAAGAGTTTTTTCTTTTTTCGTAATCTACTCTGGTGTAATGGTCCTTATCAGTCTAAGGATTTCGGGTTTTAAAAAAATATTCATTTCATTAAACTTTAATGTCTTGCTCATTATGATAGTACTACAATTAATGAATATACAAAATACAGTGTAACCTCGTTAATCCAAATCCGAAATGTCGGATAATCCGAAGAAAATTCGGGACGAAGGAAAAATAAACAAAATAAATAATTTGTTTATTTGTTGTGTTATTTTATAATTATTATAGAGCTGAACAACTAATTATAGAAATACAAGTTGTCGAGTCAAACCTTTTTTGCACTGGTAACGACGGTGTATATCACATGTTTTTGTAGCAGTAATTTTCAGGAGAGAAACTTGGTAGTCATTTAGAGGAAATTGCAAAATTGGTAATGTCATGTGATGATGTGATCGCTTCGATACGTTGCTATTTTCTCACATCCCACGCTCCGTTGCATTTTCTGCTAATCCTATAGGTGTATTCGTATATGTACGGTATATTTTTTGCGAGTAATCAGAACATTTCCAAATCGGAACAGACCACACACCCAATTAGTTCAGATTTACCGGAGTTCTACTGTAGTAGGATCAGTTGTGACGTTGTTGTGTTTTGGCATAGTTGACATATTTAAGACAAATAGAATTGTAGATAGATGTTACCTTGTTTACGAAGTACAATGTCATTAGACGATGTGTCGATTCACGTTAGGTGGTATAAACTTAGTTACTGAACATATTGATGGGCTCTGTGTAGATTGATAAAATTACAGGTTCTTGCTATTGCCAATCAAATTATATTTAGTTTTTTATGTTCTTTATTTCATTACTTAGGGACGTTGTGGAACGAAGATACTCCATCATCAGTCAAGTTTGCAATAATATATTGAATATATTAGCATTAATATTCTTACAATATCATTTATAAAATAAAATGTAATGACTGTGACCATTGTTATATAGATCAAACCAAGAGAAAAATTAATATGAGAATAAATGAACATAAGAAGAACATTAGCTTCTCGAACAAATGGAGTTCCATCTGTCACAGGTCCGAATTATATCACAACATTAATTTGGTCAGTATGAGATTGTAGATAAAAACACAAGTATCACTTCGTATTGTTTCCGATTCTTTGAATATTAAAGCAATGAATAGCACTGTAGAATGCAACAATTTTACGATAAAGACATGATATTTAACCAGGATCTAATATACATAACAATTTCAGCCAATGAACTCTTCTTTTCTTAACGTCCCTCTTCAATCCCAAGTGTCTTCTTTATTGCTCTACTTGGCAAAACCCGTTCAGCCAAGCTGCCACCGTTGACTGTGAACTTTGACGTTTTAACTCAACAATTAATGTGAATTTCTGATGTTTTGAAACATATGACATCATTATGAGTGAGCCTACAATACCTTAATTTATTTCATTTTGTTTCTTTTTCACTTTTTTAGTTTTATTAATTATTGTTCATAAAAGTGGTGTGTTAGGTGAGCAACGTTTAGAAAAAGAAATTATTTATAACACTTTTAACTAATTTTGTGGAGATCACAATATTCCACAATGAAAAATCCAGTATTTCCGCTAATATTTTAACTACTATACGGTAACTTGTCTGATAATAGCTAACCTCGCTCCGAAACATCGTTAAGAGAGGAAATAACGATTTTGATAGAAAAAGGTATATACGAGTAATTTGATTGTCAATTACAAGAGGAACCTATAATTTTACCAGCATAAACATAGGTTTGAAGTTCCATTGCTCGTATTCGGAAGTGCTGTACACAGGCGCTGTTGAACCGACAGCAACGTGAAACCATTCAAATTCTCGACGTTCTAGAGTAGCCAAGTGCGGAAGGCCACAACGTGGGCGGCGGAAGATGCGGCTGTGATGAAGGAGAATACAACGACAACGACAATGGCCAAGAATGACCAAGACACAGATATTGTTACTGCACAGCCGTTGTGTGGTAAATGACGGAGGAAATGTGGGTTTGTATGCAGGTGCTGGACGATCGATACAGGCGGAGGATGGGCACTGCTGGGAAGAGGAGGGCAGTGGCTGTTTTTTTTTTGTGATCGTGAAAGTGGTGGTGATAGTGATGATATTGATGATCATGATAATTATGGTGATGATACGGATGCTGATGGTGAGTGTCATACGAATGTCATTCGTGTGATACCGGGAGCGTCGACTACTATGGTTATTAGTTGTTAGAGTGCATTAATGCGGGAGTTGGCGGCGTTCCTCGCTGGGACGTGAGATGTGCGAAACAGAACGTCCCTTGCCAGATGGCATCAGGCGTGGGCGCGATCGATATAGGTGATGGCGATCCCAATGGCTGGGGCGACGGTGGTGGCGGTGACGATGGATGCGGACAGGAGCAGACGGACGGGGACGGCACGGGAGACGGCACGGAGAGACGGCACGGGAGACGAGCACGGGAGGACGGCACGGGAGGGACGGCAAGGGAGACGGCAGGGGAGACGGCACGGGAGACGGCACGGGAACGCACGGGAGCGGCAGGGAGACGGCACGGGTAGACGGCCCGGAGAGGACGACGTGGAGAGGCACGAGGAGACGCGGGAGACGCGACGGGAGACGGCACGGGAGACGGCACGGGAACGGCACGCGGAGACGGCAGGGGGAGACGCACGGGAGACGGAGGGGGACGGCACGGAGACGGAGCGGAGACGGACGGGACACGGACGGGAGGACGGCAGCGGGAGCGGACGGGAGAGCGGCCGGGAGACGGCACGGGAGACGGACGCGGGACGGCACGGGAGAACGCACGGGAAGACGGACGGGAGACGGAGGGAGACGGCACGGGGAGACGGACACGGTGAGACGGCACGGGAACGGCAACGCGGAGACGGCACGGAGAGACGGACGGGAGACGCACGGGGAGCACGGAGACGGGGAGACGGCCGGAGACGGCAGGAGACGGCACGGGAACGGCACGGGAGACGGCACACGCCGGAGAGACGGCACGGGGACGGACGGAGACGGCACGGGAGACGGCACGGAGACGGCACGGAGACGGGCACGGGAGACGGAACGGGAGTACGGCATGGGAGACGGCACGGAGACGGACGGGAGACGGCAGGGAGACGGACGGGAGACGGCACGGGGAGACGGACGGGAGACGGCGAGGACGGGAGACGGCACGGGAGACGGCGAGCGGGAGACGGCACGGGAGACGGCACAGGAGCGGCAGGGAGAGGACGGGACCACGGGAGACGGACGAAGCCGGGAGACGGCACGGGAGAGGCAGGGACGGCACGGAGAACAGGAGCACGGGAGACGGCGGGAACAGGGAGACGGCGGACGGCGGAGACGGATCGGGGACGGGAGACGCACGGGAGACACGGGAGACGGCACGGGAGACGGCACGGGGACGGCAACGGGGAGACGGCACGGAGAGGCACGGGGACGGACGACGGGCACGGGAGGAGGAGACGGGGAGACGGCAGACGGGAGACGGCCGGGAGACGGCACGGGAGCGGCAACGGGAGACGGCACGGGAGACGCACGGGAGAGGCACGGGAACGGCGGGAGACGGACGGGAGACGCACGGGAACGGCACGGGAGACTGGACGGGAGCGGCACGGGAGGAGGGCGGCACAGAGGCAGGGGACGGCACGGAAGAACGGCACGGCACGCGGGGGGCGTGGGGGTGGCGGGGGGGGCGGCGGGAGACGTGGGGGAGGCGATGGGGAAGGGCGAGGGGTGGGAGGGGGGGGGGCTCGGCTGAGAGAAGGCATTTGTCGTTCCGTGCGGTGCGATTGCCGTTCAAAGCAACCCGTTAAGTGTTATGGCGGCCGCGGTCGCTAAACGTTCTTTCACTAAAACCCGCTACCGCGCGGCCGCGCCTTGCCTACCGCTCTTCCATCTTCGCCTCCTGCTGCTCTCGAGACAA